AGAACACTGTGTGTCCGTGGAAGGAATAGAATCCGCCGGTAAGCACAACACTGTTGTTTCCTTCTTGTTTATAATATAATAATATTAGATCTAGATCTAGATCTAGGTCTAGATTCTCTATATCTTAATCTGTCTCATGCCCTTTCTCCAACGAACTGAAACAGAGGGAGGAATTCCGTTACGAGCGACTACAGTCTACTATGAAACAAGAGTAGAATAGACGGTTAGGGGTAGCCTAAGGGTAGGGTCAGGGTTATGTCTCTTCTTTATTGTGTTTATTGGGGTGGTCGCTCGGTTCGGAACTCCTTCCACGAAACAAAGGTATCTATCGATTTTCGGTTCTAAAACGCCCGCCTCTCGGTTGGGTGTGCCGATGACAGATCAGTTACTACTACAGTTCACTGAACGTACTTTTTGCTAATGACCGTGGCCGCCGCCCCCTATCGTAAGTGGTTCAAGGACATGACCTTGGAATAGTTGTGTTGTCCGGTGTCGGATTCTGAATGGAGTTGAGTGACCCCGCGCATCATGTCAACTTGGTAAATGACGTAATCGCGCGGAAGACCTGGAGTTGCTGGATGGTCGTTCCCGCTCCGTGCACATGTATCGCCTCACGGTTGAGTGATGGTTGGGGGGGGGGTGTACTCACCCTGGTCTTCCCTACCTGCGATGGGGGGGGGGGGGGGGGGGGAATCCCCCTGGGCTTCCCTACCTGCGAAATCTCAGGGGGGCTTTGGCTCATGCTTCCTTTTAACATTTAATTTTAATCTTTTACCCACCCCACCCCCCCTATTTTGTAACTATTTTAAAGTACGAGTTACTCATAACTTGTGTGGCCTACAACTCTGATTTATTTTGTTTGTTTGCTTGTAGTTGTAGTTGATTTTTTTGTTGTTGCTTATTTCATCCGAACGTGTGTGTGTGTGTGTGTGTGGGGGGGGGGTTCCTAACAAGTGGGATATATTATTATATTAAAGCAACTTTGATAAATTACGTTCGGGCCGAGACGCTCAGAGAAATAGTGTGAGAGCCGTTTATTATATAATAATAATTAGGTTCGGGCGAAAGCGACGTTGAAGACCAAGGTGAGTACACTTCCCGGATCCCATCTCGTGGCCTAGAGGTTAAGGTGTTGGCCTCTCATTCAAAGTTCAAAGGGGGGGGGGGGCCTCTCGTGGCCTAGAGGTTAAGGTGTTGGCCTCTCATTCAAAGGTCCCGGGTTCGAATCCGGGTAGCGACCGAAAATAATTTTTTTTCTCTAAAATTGTCTCCTTTCACTTCCTTTCCTGCTCTCTAGCAATGTTCTGTTGTCTGCTTTCATTTCCACTTTCTGCCCCCACCCCCTCACCTCCTTTGCCCCCTCCTCTGGGCTCCTGACTCTTTCTGCAGCCTTTCTACTGCTACTCCTTGGCTCCTCCTTACTGTGGTCTTTCAGCAACACACCCCGATCTTATGGTAGGAAAGATCTACACCTAGCCTTCACGGACATGGGCGAAAAATCTCGGAGGTCCCGTGTGCAAGATGTTAAAGATCCTTTGGTGGTCCAAAATCCATAAAAGAGTAGGCTTTGGCCTCCACCCGGGGAAAATTTTAAAAATTTGCTACCAACTGAAAATGTTTAGTGTGTTCTGCGCGCTCATATGACCTTAGGCAGTTGCGAGCGCCGTAAAACACTTAGCAAAAAATATTTTTTTAAAGAAAGCAAAGGTAATGTGGTCGAGAACAAGCGGCGACTCCACAGACTATCCGCGCGATTACGTCATTCACGGAGTTTGGGATTTTTTATAAAGGTTTTGGAAAGGGGGGGGGGGGTATATTGATAAACCTTGAAAACTGGCTCAGTCTTGCAAAGTTTTCCTCTTGTATGCACAGAAACTGGTTTTTCCTCCGACTATACCATACCTTTCCCCATGGCCCTTAATTCTGACCCCCACCCAAGGAGGTTATGTAAAGTCCTTGCCCCAACCCCACACCACCCACCCATCCCCACACCACACCACACAACACCCCAACATAATCCTTACCCTCCCCCTCCACAACCACCCCCCACCCACACACACAACCCCACCCACCCCCACCCACCGTCCCCACACACCGTCCCCATACACAACCCTTGCCCACCCGCTCAC